ACATACAAACTCATATATTTCAGATGTTTATTTTGTTTAATTTTGATGATTACAAATGACAACAAATGAAAATCTCAAATTCATCATATCAGAAAATTAGAATATTACTGAAGACCAATAAAAACAAAGGATTTATAGAAATGTTGGCCAACTGAAAAGTATGAACATGAAAAGTATGAGCATGTACAGCACTCAGTATTTAGTTGGGCCTCCTTTGGCCTGTATTACTGCAGCAATGCGGCGTGGCATGGAGTCGATCAGTCTGTGGCACTGCTCAGGTGTTATGATAGCCCAGGTTGCTCTAATAGTGGCTTTTAGCTCTTCTGAATTGTTGGGTCTGGTGTATTGCATCTTCTTCTTCACAATACCCCATAGATTTTCTATGGGGTTAAGGTCAGGAGAGTTTGCTGGCCAATTAAGAACAGGGATACCATGGTCCTTCAACCAGGTACTGGTAGCTTTGGCACTGTGTGCAGGTGCCAAGTCCTGTTGGAAAATGAAATCTGCATCTCCAAAAAGTTGGTCAGCTGCAGGAAGCATGAAGTGCTCTAAAACTTCCTGGTATGTGGCTGCGTTGACCCTGGACCTCAGAAAACACAATGGACCAACACCAGCAGATGACATGGCACCCCAAACCATCACTGACTGTGGAAACTTTACACTGGACTTCAAGCAACGTGGATGAAGTGCCTCTCTTCTTTTCCTCCAGACTCTGGGACCTTGATTTCCAAAGGAAATGCAAAATTTACTTTCATCAGAGAACATGACTTTGGACCACTCACCAGCAGTCCAGTCCTGTTTCTCTTTAGCCCAGGCAAGACGCTTCTGACGCTGTCTGTGGTTCAAGAGTGGCTTGACACAAGGAATGCGACAGCAGAAACCCATGTCTTTCATACGTCTGTGTGTGGTGGTTCTTGAAGCACTCACTCCAGCTGCAGTCCACTCTTTGTGAATCTCCCCCACATTTTTGAATGGGTTTTGTTTCACAATCCTCTCCAGGGTGCGGTTATCTCTCTTGCTTGTACACTTTTTTCGACCACATCTTTTCCTTCCCTTCGCCTCTCTATTAATGTGCTTGGACACTGAGCTCTGTGAACAGCCAGCCTCTTTAGCGATGACCTTTTGTGTCTTGCCCTCCTTGTGCAAGGTGTCGATGGTCGTCTTTTGGACAACTGTCAAGTCAGCAGTCTTCCCCATGATTGTGTAGCCTATAGAACTAGACTGAAAGACCATTTAAAGGCTTTTGCAGGTGGTTTGAGTTAATTAGCTGATTAGAGTGTGGCACCAGGGGCCATCAATTTTGAACCTTTTCACAATATTCTAATTTTCTGATATGATGAATTTGAGATTTTCATTTGTTGTCATTTGTAATCATCAAAATTAAACAAAATAAACATCTGAAATATATGAGTTTGTATGTAATGTATGAATATAATATACAAGTTTCACTTTTTAAATGGAATTACTGAAATCAATCTACTTTTTCATGATATTCAAATTTTATGACCAGCACCTGTAATCATTTCTAAGTCGGAGCCGCTCAGACATCGGCGGTTCTCCGTCACTGGGAATCCCGTTCAACAGCAGCCTCTGGCCTGGCCGCAGCTTCGCGGTTTTCCGCTACTGTAGGTGGCAGCTGGGAGTAGATGTTAGCATTTTTCCACGTATGTAATCCAAACTGCAGGCACCAGAATAATAAAAGCGAACATATTCTGCCGGCAGATTTAGACATTTTAAGGTAATTTAAGCATTAATAAACTGTTTCAGAGGAGTCATCATAGCGCTCTACATCAGCAGCGCTGTGTCTGACTCCCTGCCAGCTCCCAGACCAGCTCTTCTGATTGGTTGATGTGGTGCTTCGAGCAGCAAGTTAAATTTTTCCAACTCAAGCAGCTGCTGCTACTGAAGTGCATGTCAGATGCTCAGACACGCTGCTCCTGCTGCCCTAAACGCGCTGCAGGACCTTTTTACTGCAACTTGATGCGCATCAACTATTGACTTTGCATGTAAACTAGCTGCTGCTTCTGCTTCGTGTGAATCTGACTCTTCCATTCAACAGAGATGTTTATATTGATAATGTTTTGATGGAGTGGTTATAATTGAATGATGTATTGGGAAATTTTAGACCATCCCAGATAGTTTAGAACAACAGTAGAATTAATGAATTCAAACACAGGCGTTCCGCATGCGAGCATCAAAGCGGCGGATGTGTTTCTGCACACACATCCAAACTGTGACGTTATTAAGATTCCAGGGCTTCTGTAAAAGCTGCCTCCAGGGTGAACTGGATGTGCTTTAATTGGCTCAGAGTGATTAACAAGGAGAGTCCTGCATCACTTCTTCTTTCCTCTAACTCTAGGTAGACCAGATTTCCCTCAGGCTTCAACTGTTTAAAGACTGTCCAAAAGTTGTAGCAACAGAAAGTCATAACATGAAAAGTGTTTCATTGACACTGACGTTTAAAGGTGTTTGAATTATACATGGTCTTTGCTGCACAATAAAAACTCAACTTAGGTGTAAACAGATGGGATTGCCATAAGCATGCTTTTAGGGTTATATTTCAAAGTTTAACAAAAAAAACAAAAAAAGAAAGAAAAAACACCACTAGGCTGCATAAATGTGAAACATCATCAGGTTGGAGGTGCTTAAGACCTTTTTTATCGTTTTGTACATAATAAAAGAATATTTAATCTTCTCTTCTGGACAACTCTCTCCTTTTTGTTTTCTAAATTCTCATTATTTTCACCCTTTCTTCATAATTGAAGGCGAGCTTCATATCTTCCCCTAGTATGCAAACCATCAGATTGATCCGGTACGACGATGCTCTGATCCACGAACACTCTGACCATCGGACAGTGTGCGTACCAGATCTACTCGGGTGGTCAGATTTGCTCTGGGCCACGCCCCTTTTTATGACATCAACATATGGCAACTCCACTCCGACAAACTGTATTGCAACTGTTTCCTAAGAATCAAATCTCTTTTGGAGTCTCAACATATTATTCCCTATATTTGCTATAATTTTACATTTCATTGGCGATCTAAAGTAGCTAAAAGTACAAAACAATCATAGTCAGCCTTCAAGGCAAGTACTGCGTTCTAAGATCAAGCTCTGCTATTTAACAAGGTGGCTTATTTTTATTCTTTTTATTCAGATCTGAGGGCAGAAGAAGACAAAGGGGACATCTTAAAAAAAAAAAATATTTACGTAGAGATTTTAGACCAAGAAAACAGTTTTCTTGTAGAAAACGAACGGTTGTTGTTGACACAAATTTAAAAGTAGTGTACTTTAATATGGCTAACTGGCCGAGCTAAAAAAAGGCTAACCGGTTAGCTACTGAGCACAGCTAGCCACAGGGCTACCCAACTCTCCCCCTTTATACCATGGTTTCGCATTTACTTAGTTAACAATAAACAGATTTTTTTTCAGTTTTGTAATCGATCAGGTAAACCTTCATTGATCATTATCGTTGTCTGGGCAACCACAATGTTTTACATCATGTGGCAACGTTCAGCCAATCATAGTGTTGAGATCGAAGATTCATAAGCCCCATTTACACTACCCTTGATAAATCGATCCATGCCGAGACCGGTCCGAGCTGGGATCAGTTAACCAGGCCGAGCTCGGTTCTGAAGACCGTTTACGCATCACGCTATCTCGACTCCTTGCCTCCTAGTGACGATCTACGGTATTACTGCCAGTACTGAAGGAGGAAATCAGGCAGTTGGTGGCGGTAATGCACCAAAAGTTGTTTGCCAACCGCCATAAAACACAAGAAGAAGAAGACGAAGAAGGAGGGAATCAAAATCAAAATGGCGGCGCCCGGCACATTCAGAAAGTTATGCTTGATTATTATTGCTGTACTTCGGTGTTATTGTTTAAAATGCTGCGTGGAGAAGATTCCGATTGTTGTTTATAGTTGAAGAAGAAGTTGTTCTTCTTCTGTTTCTAGAGGGGCATTACTGCCACCTACTGGAATGGAGTGTGAATCACGATGTGCAGCCAGACAGAGATGACACGTTCTGCTCATGCGCTCTTGTTACCAGAGAACTGAGCCAGGGAAAATCCGAGCCGAGCCCACCTCTGGAACTGGTCTGCAGTTAGCTCGGTTCGGTTGTGTCTAGCTCGGTTCAGTTCAGTTTGCTTTCCATTTACACACCATAAGTTATCTCAGTTACTGAGCTCAGACCGGTCTCGGCACAGTTTTTCAGGGGTAGTGTAAATGGGGTAATAGAGTGGAACAAAAACAAAGCCTTGTTTTGGCTTAGAAAACACGCAAATTAAACCAAACGAATGGGTCCAACCATTACAAATGGGCAGTCATTTGGTTTCCTTGTTAGCAAAAGCCACTTTTGCCTCTGAGGCTAACAAAGAAACCCAAATGAACCCCATTCCTAAGGGGCAGTTCGTCCTGTTCAATTTGCAATTTCAATTTCTGACATTTTGAATTGAAAAGACTTCCTGGATGGGAAGCGAAAGGTCTTCAAACTTTTTTTGGAATTAAGATGATGGCAACATATACTAAACATGATTTAATGATGCTGTACTGAAAACGGCAGCAATAGAATGCATAACAGATAGAAATCTTAGCAATAAGAAGCAGGATTATGAACTCGGTAATAATTGTGTTGTAAGCAGGGATGCTTATTAATGCTAACAGCTACCGGACATTAAAAATAATCCGAAAAAGGCAGAACACACAGTATAGAATAGGTATCCAGTATATGAAGGATGATGATTGTACCAAATAAGAAGAAAACGTTCCTACGGCAGGCTGCATGTTTCAGTATAACAGGATATTCTTGAGAGGGAAGAGCCTGAGTTTACTCCACTGCCTCCTGCAGAGGAAAATAACCTGGATCCCAACATGCTGCTCTGATCCTCAACTTAAGTGCAGGAAATGACAGGAATTAGCTGCACTTTAGCCGGCCATCTTCATCTGACAGCCTTGATGGGGTTCCATAAAGAGAAGAGGAGGAAGAGGAGGAGGAGGACTCACCGTCTCCAGCTGGTCCATGAGCTTCACAAGGAACTTCCTGCATTCTGGAGTTTTGCTGTCCAGCTTCATGCCCGTCTGCATGGCGTAGAGCCGACCTGTAAGAGGAAGGATGGTGGAGTTTTGAACTTCCTGCTGATTCCTTCATCTCCTCCTGACCCAACCCCCCCCCCAAAAAAAAATAAAAAAAACACACACCCTCAGTGAAAATGTATAATTCAGGACAATTTATTCCATATTTGCAGGAGTTTTACTTACCGTACTTTGTCACATCAAGGAGCACAGCTACATTTAGTCTGTTTGTCTTGCACAGCTTTTACTCTTTATACTATTTCTAGTCATTTTTTAAGCAAAATTTGGGGTTTTTAACCAAAAACATTTTAAAAGTCCAATTATTTATTTCAGACTACCACCTAGTTTTCATTATACAAAAAATTTTTTTTAAGAAACTTTAAATTTTTATCTATTTAACAGATTACATTCAATGACTTTTATCTACCAAGGGAACTATATTGTTTGTTTTTTAAAATCAAATCAATTATGTTTGACAGCATTTTAAATTTTCAGAATATCCAAAGAGTTTTTGTATTATGTTTTTATATTATTGTGTTTTTAAAAAATATTTGGAGAAATTTACAGTCATGTTCCAAAGCAATTAAGTTTCCTAAAACCACAAACATGTTTTGCTGTGGAATCCTTGTTTTATTTCTTTTTATAAATCATGTTTTATGGGAATCATGCTTTATACGGAAACCTTTCAGGTTTTCTTTATTTGCAAAACAATTTTTATTCATTTCAGGCAAAAAATAAATAAATAAAAAATCTTCTAAAATTCAATGAATCTTACAAGATCAAATTTCTAAAGATGTCGTCTTCCCTTTAGAAGAAGTCTTTCTGTTAGAAAATCATATCAAAGTAACTTCAAATTTTTTTTATGGTTTTCTGTGGGCTTTTATTCTCTTAATCTGATTTATCTTTTTCACTCTAAAACTAAATACCTTTTCGTAACATAATGTCACTTCTTTTTCCAAAACCAAACACATTTTAAAAACGGGACTTTCCTTAATTTTATACTATTTCCACTTTTTAAAATGCACCAATTAATTTTGTAGAAATTATAGTATTTTTTTTACGCCATAAGAACGTCTTTATATAAAAAAAAAGTCAAACATTCAGTACTGAAAATTATGGAAGAGGATTAGGGCCACTGAAAAAAAAAAGTTAACTGATTTTTACATTTTATTTCAGTTTAACATGGGAAAAAACTGACTTTTTTCTCAGAATTCTGACTGAATTCTGACAATAAAAAAAGTCAGAATTCTGAGAAAAAAGTCAGAATTCTGAGTAAAAAGTCAGAGTTCTGACTTTTTTCCCATGCTATACTGAAATAAAAAAAAAAAAAAATCAGTTAACTTTTTTTTTTTTTTCCAGTGGCCCTAATCCTCTTCCGTAGAAAATACTTTTAGAAATGTTTTAAACTTTTTTAATGAAAAAGCCACAATCTTTCTTTCTCCAACACTTATTTCCTGAAGTCTGGCTAACACCACCGCTATAAATCCTCCTGCCACCTACGGATGATCAGAGGTTTATCTTTCTGCAGGTCATTGAACTGATGCAGCTTGTAGTGTAAAAAAAGTATTCAACTATTCACCCCAGTTAAATAAACGGAGATTGATGGATTTTAATCAGTCGGCATTTTATTTTCATATCTTTGCAAAGACAGAACGGTTAATCATACAGTCCTGTACTGTAATCAGCCCTGTTCTGCCTGGGCAGCATTTGTTCCCCCTTAGTTGCAATAATGGAAAGTTGTCAGAGCAAAACAAATTACAGACATTTTGGTTAAACAGTAACTTCTTATGAATAAACCTTGAGAAAGAATCTGATTTGTTAAGGTATGTCTTGTCTACAGTCAGCTTCATGCAGGGGCATTGTGTGGCCTTGAGGTCAAACAGGCTGAGTGAAAACTTTTAGGGCGAGTAAAAAGGATAAATTAATTCATGAAATAAGAGAAACTAATTTTCCGACCACAAGCTTCACGCATCTGAAGCAACACGATGCGGCTTTGCTCTGTTGGGACATCTTGTTGCAATCCACACCGTTTGTTTACAGCGTTTCAGAGGCGTCACCATCCTGCACAGCAACCGGCAGAACAAAGTCCCGTTTCACAGAGAGAGAATGGTGAGCAGTCTCTGTCGCACGGCCAAGACTGCAGCAGCTCAGTGCTTCCAGAGACGCCACATGGATGCTGCCTCGGAGCGCAGAGAGCCACAGAGAAACAAAGGTGTCCCCTGTCCCCCAGGCCTCCCACCCTGACCATTCCTCCCATTCCTGCCATTCTAAGGCCCTCTGCTGGTCAGCACTCATGCAGGTTGCTGGTGTTACAGAAACGTTTCTTTAACCCGCGCTCAGACATAGAGGGAAACAGACTTTACCCACATATGGAAGACATCTTCAGTTAAAATCGAGGTAATATTTGGTCTTCCTGACGCTTAGATGATGCTTACATCACCTCTAAGGCTGCTTCCCACTGAGATGACGTCTCAACATCATTTCCTGTCCTGTTGATTCCAGCATGGAGAAAAAAGGAAGATGTTCAGATAACTTGTTGGAAATGATAAAACTTTCCTTTCCACTCTGCAGGCGTAAGATGCAACACTCTGCAGAAGCTGGACAGAATCAGCCTTCAACATTAAAGCAAAGGCAGGAAGGAGAGCGAGGAGACGCTTTGCAGACCGGGGGGGGGGGGGTTTCAGCCGATTTCAGCTCCGGCAAACATCAATGTCTCACATTCTAATGTCCATCAGCTTCAGCCTCCTTCAGATGAATTTAAAAGGTTTAAACTCCAGGTTTTCCGGGCTTTATTTTACAAGCTCTCTCTAAAGTATGAATAGAAACGAATAAACAGGTGGAGAAACAGAAGGATTAAAAGATATTTGGAAAAAAAAATGGATGACAGATGGATAAAAATATAGATAGAACAATAAACAGAAGCCTAAAAAAACATATAAAGGGAGGGACAGATGGATAAATGAAAAAGTGGAGTGAGAAGGACAAAAGGAACGGAAGGAGATAACTAAAAGGACGGATGATTAAAAACAGGAAGGCAGTTAAAAAGATGGATGTAAGGAGGGACAGACGGACGGATTAAAAGATGGAGGATCTGGAAGGTGGGACGGGTGACACAATTATTACTTTTTGTTCCCCAAATAGACTGATTTTTCTTCATTAAGAATGATAGGTAAATGAAATTTACAAATAAAGAAAATCAAAAAATAAAACTTTGAAAAACTCCATAAACAAAAAAAAGATTTTGTCAGAAAATTTACTTTTTTTTTTAGATTTTTCATTCTTTTATTCTAGTTTTTCAAATAATTTTTTAATCAAACTACAGATCTTATATTTCTAAAATTGACTATTTTATAGATTTACTTTTATGAATTTTATTTGTTTCAAATTAAGCTTCAAAGATCACATTCTCTCCCCTTCAAGCCCCAAAAGAAACACCTGCTTCCTATAACGTTGCCGCTAACGCCCATTCAGACCAATAGAAATGCGCCTTTGCTTGTCACTCTAGAAGAAAGCCCGCCCCCAGATGTGAAGAGGATAAAATACACTCACCGGCCACTTTATTAGGTACACCTGTCCAACTGCTCGTTAACACTTAATTTCTAAGCAGCCAATCACATGGCGGCAACTCAGTGCATTTAGGCATGTAGACATGGTCAAGACAATCTCCTGCAGTTCAAACCGAGCATCAGTATGGGGAAGAAAGGTGATTTGAGTGACTTTGAACGTGGCATGATTGTTGGTTCCAGAAGGGCTGGTCTGAGTATTTCAGAAACTGCTGATCTACTGGGATTTTCAGACACAACCATCTCTAGGGTTTACAGAGAATGGTCCGAAAAAGAAAAAACATCCAGTGAGCGGCAGTTCTGTGGGTGGAAATGCCTTGTTGATGCCAGAGGTCAGAGGAGAATGACCAGACTGGTTCGAGCTGATAGAAGGGCAACAGTGACTCAAATAACCACCCGTTACAACCAAGTTGGGCAGAAGAGCATCTCTGAACGCACAGTACGTCGAACTTTGAGGCAGATGGGCTACAGCAGCAGAAGACCACACCGGGTGCCACTCCTTTCAGCTAAGAACAGGAAACTGAGGCTACAATTTGCACAAGCTCATGGAAATTGGACAATAGAAGATTGGAAAAACGTTGCCTGGTCTGATGAGTCTCGATTTCTGCTGCGACATTCGGATGGTAGGGTCAGTATTTGGCGTCTACAACATGAAAGCATGGATCCATCCTGCCTTGTATCAACGGTTCAGGCTGGTGGTGGTGGTGTCATGGTGTGGGGAATATTTTCTTGGCACTCTTTGGGCCCCTTGGTACCAATTGAGCATCGTTGCAACGCCACAGCCTACCTGAGTATTGTTGCTGACCATGTCCATCCCTTTATGACCACAATGTACCCAACTTCTGATGGCTACTTTCAGCAGGATAATGCGCCATGTCATAAAGCTGGAATCATCTCAGACTGGTTTCTTGAACATGACAATGAGTTCACTGTACTCAAATGGCCTCCACAGTCACCAGATCTCAATCCAATAGAGCATCTTTGGGATGTGGTGGAACGGGAGATTCGCATCATGGATGTGCAGCCGACAAATCTGCGGCAACTGTGTGATGCCATCATGTCAATATGGACCAAACTCCCTGAGGAATGCTTCCAGCACCTTGTTGAATCTATGCCACCAAGAATTGAGGCAGTTCTGAAGGCAAAAGGGGGTCCAACCCGTTACTAGCATGGGGTACCTAATAAAGTGGCCGGTGAGTGTATGTAAAATTCAATCTTAAAATAATAAAAATTTGGAAATATATTTTCTTTTAGAAAAATGGAGAATGGAGCAAAATTCCTCTCAAAACCTCTTAAAAAAAAAAAAAAAAAAGATTTTGTCAGAAAATTCACTTTTTTTTTAGATTTTTCATTCTGTTATTCTAGATTTTTTTTAAAAAAATGAATCAAACTACAGATCTTATATTTCTAAAATTGACTATTTTTCAGATTTACTTTTATTTATTGTATTTATTTCAAATTAA